ATTGTATTAAAGCCAGTGCAAAATTTCATTGACTTGCTGACTATGGAGTGTTTGCCACACACCATGGTGTTACTGCCAAACCAAAATCTTATAGTGGTTTTATTTGTGAGTTAAAAGAGACACATTTGAAGATTAAAATCAGTTTTAATTTGCTCATAAAAATGCAACTGAAAGAATATCTGTTGATTAACTAACAGACGTTCGGAATGAAGAAGTATGTTCTGTCCATATTACTGAGTTTTTATTATATGTGTTGGAATCATATTGCTTCCCTTTCAACTTGTGGCAGGGAAGTCTAGCTTTGCTGTCCAACTTGTTCGTGGTGGCTTCTTTATTTATATTTTCCATATATAAAGTCTTGTGTGAAAGTCGTGAAGCTCTTAAGATCACCTTTAGTTAAATCATTCATTTTTAAATGAGAAATTTGGCAAAGCACATGTTTGTATCTGATAATTATAATGTTCAAATATTATGCTAATGCTATCTTAGCAAATTACAAGAGAGAAACTGGTGAAGATGCTAGCTATTTTGACATATAGATTAGTGTTGTTATCGAAGGATGTTTGGAGTGAGTTATTTCTAACAATTTTTTTTAAGTTATCAACTGATTGATGGCATTTAGTTGCAAGCCCTCACTAGAATATAATAGTCATTTGTGAGAACTTAACCGAGTAGATATTCTATTTTTGTCTCGGAAAATGGGAATTACATTTGATTATCACAATTGTTATCGTTTCTTGGGGTTTAAGCATATTATCTTATCCTATATAGGTTTAATTTTTTTATCAGTAGAAGGCTTCTTTAATACTATTTATGATGAATGATTGGTTTAACTGTGTCCATGTAAATATGTGCATGTGATTTTTCATTTTTGACGAGGAGATTCTCTATAGATTTTACTGTTCCTCCTAAATTTAGATTTTCTAATATCATCTAACATTCAGAATATGTTCTTATTTATGTACTGATCACTGGAGTTATGGTGAATGAATGGAAATGAGGTTTCAAGAGACAGTCTTGAACCTGCAATCACATTCTGGATTCTCATTCTTTTCTATAAAAAAATATTAATCTGACTTATTTACCAGTAAGAGATGACATGATTTGTACTGTTTGATAAACATAAATACATGTTTACTTGTTTTAGGCATTTCCTATAATGCTTTTTCCCTATCTCAACTATTTTCTGCATTTTAGGGAACCACAAATCAAAGGTTTCAGCTCCTGCTAAACCTGAAGTGCAAAAGGCAGCTCCACCTATTGAAGTGCCAGCATTGTCTTTGGATGAACTGAAAGAAACAACTGACAATTTTGGATCAAAGGCATTGATTGGTGAAGGATCATATGGAAGAGTGTATTATGCAAACTTAAGTAGTGGAAAAGCTGTTGCTGTAAAGAAGCTAGATGTTTCATCTGAGCCCGAGACGAATGTTGAGTTTTTGACTCAGGTATATCAAAAACTTAATAAAGACAGGTCTCTTTTTGTTCAGTTTGTTGTTGTTGATAACAAAATAACTTCTTTAAGGTATTGCTTTAATTTTGTCCAACTATTGAATTCAGGTTTCAATGGTTTCAAGATTGAAGCATGAAAATCTTGTTGAGTTGCTTGGTTACTGTGTTGATGGAAATCTCCGTGTGCTCGCATATGAGTTTGCAACGATGGGATCTCTTCATGACATATTGCATGGTATATGATGTCAGCTTGCTTAATCTTCATTTGCAATATAGAATAACTTTCATGAATTAAATGGGAGAAAATTTTATCCACTAATTTGAGCATGTGGGCAATTACAGGTAGGAAGGGTGTTCAAGGAGCACAACCAGGTCCAGTGCTTGACTGGATGACACGGGTTAGAATTGCTGTTGACGCAGCTAGGGGTTTGGAGTACTTGCATGAGAAGGTTCAACCTTCTATAATCCACAGAGATATCAGATCTAGCAATGTGCTTCTCTTTGAAGATTTCAAGGCCAAGATTGCAGATTTTAACCTTTCAAATCAGGCTCCTGACATGGCTGCTCGTCTTCATTCTACTCGTGTTTTGGGAACCTTTGGCTATCATGCTCCAGAGTAATCCTTCTAAAAGCCTTTTGTTCTATTATCATTTTGTAATGCTTTTTATTGATTATTTCCTTGGTTGAATCATTGGTTATGTTTGTTGCTGCTAATTTTCAAACATGATGTTATTGCCTGTGATTTGACCTGGAGTGGTTTTCGTTTCAGTCCAATGCTTTTCTTTTTTGTTGTTTAAATTTCTGTGCTCTGCATTACTTATTCTGAGTCTGGACAAAGTTACCTGGAGTTTAACTTGCTAAGATGCTGGCCTGTATAAAACTCAGTGCAAAAGGACTATGAAGAATGGACCATGCTTTAGCAGAACTACCTTAAGAAGAACTAAAGTCATATCATATTTTTTGATAATTTATTTTCATCTGAAAGATAAATGCATAGAAGTAGTGATGCTTATTGAATGGAGAGAGATGAAGAAATGGGAGAAAGAAATTGAAGGATAGAATTTGAATTTCTATGACCTCTACCTTTCTTTTCATTATTCCCCCTCACCTTTTTTCTGGAAGAGGAAGAGGAATAGAAAACGAGAATTAGGTGAGGATAAGCTGTTGGACAATTAATCTCATGCTCTGGGGTAAAACCATTTCGAGCTTGGTTTGCCTTGCAAGATCATCTTAAATGGATTTCTTTAGAGGTCCCATTGGTAGTTTATCATAGTTATTTTGTCATTATAATTTAATCTTTCTTAAAATAAGTTTGGCTTTTGGAGCCTAATCATTTTGATGTAGCATGCACTTTATTCAAATTAATGTTTAAGATGCATCTAGAACCAGTTTGAGAAAGTATGTTTTTAACAGCAGCATTCTTTAAGGGATTTCTTTGACCAGACTCATAACCTAATGTGGATTGAAAATAGCAGATCTAAACATGAATGATGTTTGCCACTTATTTCATCTTTTCTTAATAAAGAAAAGTTTTAGTGTAGTTCTTGTTGATGTACTTAGCAGTGGTGCAAATATATGGACCATTTTGTCTGGCCTAGTGTTACTCAAATCATTTTTTTTCATGGCAATGCCTGTGTTGTCGTACGTAATTTACATTATGATCTTATAAATCTAGTTTTAGACACATTTATTGTGGATGCTTACAGCTAACTTGTGGCTTGCAAAACTGATTTGCAGATATGCGATGACCGGGCAATTGACCCAGAAAAGTGATGTGTACAGCTTTGGAGTAGTCCTTCTAGAGCTTTTGACAGGAAGGAAACCCGTTGATCACACTATGCCTCGTGGACAACAGAGTCTTGTTACCTGGGTCAGTCCATTTGTCTACTTTCATGTTATTATCATTCTCTTTACTCTTCCAGTTCTCTTTCCCTGTGATTTTGGCTGACAAACTTAATTTTTGTTAAGGCTACTCCGAGATTAAGTGAAGACAAAGTTAAACAGTGTGTGGATCCCAAGCTAAAAGGAGAATACCCTCCTAAAGGAGTAGCTAAGGTATCTCTCTCTTACATGCATAGTTTTCCTTTTTGGGTTGAGAAGCTCAGGTACATTTGCGTTGAAACATTGCTGCTGCTGTTTCCTTTTTGGTGGTAATATCACTGACAATATTATCTATGTTCGATGCAGCTGGCAGCTGTTGCAGCATTGTGTGTGCAGTATGAAGCTGAGTTCAGGCCGAATATGAGCATTGTCGTGAAGGCTCTTCAACCACTTCTGAAGCCACCAGCCCAACCTGCAGCTCCAGCCCCAGATACCTAAAAAGCAAATAAACTCAATTTCTCTGCTTGTTTGAAGTTCTGACGCTTGTTCACAGTTTGTTTTCAAATATATTTTTTAATTTTTCATAGATGAGAATCGATTCCGTATAATATGAGAGCAGATGTGTAGGATTGGATTGTCCTTGTAGTGTCACTTTTAACATTTGTCTGCTGCTGGTGGTGCTGATGTCTTTTTTTAAAGTCCCGAATTGTTGACAATGAATTGGGTTTGTGGATACCTGGGTACGCTTTGTTTTCTTTCGCGTTCATACTCAGTTATCGGCCATGTTTTATGGACCTTTGAACTCTATGATATAGAAAATCTTTTGCTGTTCCTGATAGAGCATTAGGGGTTTTTAGGTTGTGCGTGGAATTATGTTGATCTTTGATCTAACCCTAATTATGTTATGTTCATTCTTGGTATATAAGTTTATGTATATTTTTTATGAAATATGTTATCTATCATACTGTTATCAAACTTTGAGGGCCCATTGGAAATAGTAATTTATTTTGTCACACCAAACTACCAAAGTTATCATTTTATTCTCTACACAAAAATGGATGAGTGAATTAGTATTTTAAAAGACAATATAACGAAGTTAGGGTAAAAGGGTATCTATGACAATTTTTAAACTTGGAGGGTCCATTTGATAAAAGTGTAAAAATTGTATTCAAAGGAAAATTTTGAAACCTAAAGATAAAATGTGGGATTTAATAAGATAAAATGTGGTAGCAAAAACAGGTAAAATAAAATAGTTTTAAAATTGCATCCAAAATTTTTTCTAGAAGCAAGCAAACCACCTCTTATTTATTGTTTTAAGAGTAATGCTACAATTACTGGAGGTTACGTACCAAAAATATACATCGAATGACGTGACAAAATCCTCACTGTTGATTTATTATCGATTAATATTAATCAACGGTTAAGATTTTACCACTTTATTCAGTGCATAGATTTGGTGTGCAACCTTCTATGGCTCTATCATTTTCCTTATTTTAAATCTAAAATTCTTAATATACTTTCGAAATTTAAAAGAAAAATGGAAATTCTAATTACGTGGATTATACATAAATTTAATTGAAAAGAATAAAAAGACTTAATGCCCTTCACCCCTAAGTAATAAAGACTAAGAAATCAATTTTCATCAGGGGTTTCTTAGGAATTATAAAGTCCCTGAAAGATTGCTACATCTGTAGCCCTATAGCTCTATATATATATGTATGTTACTACGCCACTCCACAGCAATTTTCCACTACGCACTTCAAGTCTTCAACTAGTTTTGAATTTCCACGAGGGTTTTATACTTTTGTGCTCTCTCTCTCCAAATAGTTTTCGTTCTCTACTGAATTAGAGATGACTGATGATAAACACTCTGCTTTCAAACCAATAACCACTCAATTTCAACAAAAGACTCCCTCTATGCAACAACTAGAAGAACGAGAACAATTCGCTTCTCTCTCTTCCGTTGCCTCACAAGATTCAGTACAGTCCTCTGATGATACTTCTTCAGCTCCAAGACAAGAAGACTCTTCAACCATGGCGGCCGCTTGCAGTTGTTTCAAGAAGGCGGCTTGTTCTTGTGTTAAAGGTGAATGTGAGAGTCATATCGACTTTACTGAAGAAAAACAAGAACTTGGTCAAGAATTGTTGGGTTCTGTTGATGAAGAGGTCACTGCTTGTGATTTAGTTTCTGGGTTCTCTGGTTGGGAAGAAAAAGGGATTGTTTGTGAGAAAAAGGTGAAAGCGTTTGGTGTGGAAGTTGAAGAAACAGAGAATAGTGAAGTGGGCTGTCTTGCTAATTTTGAAAAGACTCTGAAAGATTCTGTGAAACGTGAAGTGGGTTGCTCTGGAATTCAAGAACGTGGTGAAGTCAATGAAAAGAAGGAGTCTGAGGTTGGGGGTGAGATGGTCTCTGAATTTTCTGGATGTGAGGGCAATGGGGTGGTTTGTGATAGAAAGGTGCAGGCTTTTGGTTTGGAAGTTGAAGAATCAGAGAATAGTGAGGTGGGTTGTGTTGCTACTTTTGAAAAGACTTCGAAAGATTTTGTGAAACTTGAAGTGAGTTGTTCTGCAGTTCAAGAATGTGATAACTTCAATGAAGAGGAGTCTGAGGTCAAAGTTGAGACGAGTTCCGTTGTGGAAGGTGACAATGAAGATAGAAAAGAAATGAAATCTGAAGCTTTGTTGGAGGCCAAGAAAAAGCAGTTATTGGCAGAACTTGAAGTTTCTGGTCTGGCAAGTCAGGAAGTACACAAACTAGTGCAAAATAATGGTGTGAAGATTGATGGTGCAAGAGTAAGTGATGTGAGTGTTAGGCCTTCTCTTAGGATTGAAGTAATTGATGATACAGCATTGATTGAAACTGTTAGGGTTTCTAAAATGATAGAGAGGAACGGGAAGAAAGGGGAGACGGAGCAAGAAGTGGATGGAAAGAAGGCAAGAAGATCGAGAAGGAAGGCAAAAGATGCGAAAAAGGCTTCGGAGATGAGTGAAAAGATTAAGAATTTGACTGATTATGGGGCTGGTCAAGATGGTGGTTTAAAGGATGGAAAACAAGAGAAAATTATGTACTCAAGGAAGGAGATGGAGGCCTTGAGGTTTGTCAACATTGTGGAACAGCGGAAAATGTGGAGGGATGTATACACTGGACTTGGACCTGTGGTGATGACTGAGTATGATGACCTGTTCAGCTCCAAGCATCAGAAGCACATCCTCTTGAACTTCGATCCTCGGCAGAACTTTTCAAGGAAGCCAGAGACCCATGAGATTCTTGGTAAGTTTCATTATCTGCTAATTTTTATTTTTCAAGTATCTTAAGCTCTACCTGTTATTATTGTGTAAACACATGCCACTTTTGTTTTTTTATAGTTTTATTTTATGTGTCTAAAAGAATCTTTGGCATTATGATTTGATCTACAATAGCAGATTATGATGACAGTGTAGAGCTCAATGATTTGATGGTATAATATTATGAACAAGCACATATTGTTGAATTTATTTCTTTTGGTGGCATTTTGTGTATGGTTTTGTTCTCTTTAATACCCAAATTTCAAACAACCGAGCTTCCGTATGAAAGGGGATCTGAACTAATCTTATTTAGATAATAGTTTCTTAGAATGGGGAGTAGTTTTCAATGAAACCTTAGTTAGAGGAATAGCTTGTAATCTAGTCGTGCAGCCTCTGGCAAGAAATACTCCAGATTTTCTTTAATTCTCTGAGAAGCTGATATAACAGCTGACGCACTGCTTCTGGCCAATGCTTATTACTCAGTTATTCTATTTGTATTTCTAATCTGACATGAGGTATTTGAAAAAGGAAAGAATGTGTATGATTAGTCAGCTATTTAATTGTGTTACTTCATAGCAAGATTCTCTGAACTTTGTATAGCTTTAAGGAGTAGCCTAGGAACACTTGAAGCATCTTTGATGAGATTGGTGTCAAGTAAGACTGCATTGACATTCAGCAAAGAGGTTAATAATCTACCACTCCTAGCATTTTGTCTATCTTGTGATTGCAATAGAGAAGAAACCAGATGCAATTTTCTAAACTTTTAGATTGCTCTTCTGCCATGAAATTTTTTGAAAATCATATTGTGCTGTTGTTTTAAGGAAAGCTATAATTTTCTAAAATACATCTTTTAAAAGCCTTTCTTTAATCTCCCTTCCATTTACTCTGTTTGAGCTAAGATCTCTGTTGACAGTTATCGTATATGTGGTTTGGCCATGATTTGCTATTTTGTAGCACTGGAATGGAAGTTTTCTGTGAATTTTTCCTTTTAAGGGTTTTTTTTCCCTTTCTTCTTCTTCCTTTTGGAGTCCATGGACCTTTTTGAATGCTTTTCCTCCACCTCTTCTTTGTAGTGGGTTCTAGCTCTTCTTGTGTCAATTTGATGGGATCATTTTCTGTTGTCACAGGTGTTGTTGCTGCAAGGGGAAGAGGGAACAATTTCAATATCTTTGTGCGTTGAAGAGTGGCCTAGAGCAATCTGCAAAGTTCTTTGTGCAGTATTTTCAAAGTCTCTTATCTGTGTACTTAGCATGTCATAGCTGTCTTGTATACAAACTGTGTACAGTCTTTGTACATAGAAATTATTACTCTCGATTTAGATTTTGTAGGGAAAGTGTGTTGGATGATAACACGTTACATTCGTTTATAACTGAAAGAATGTAGTGAGGATACTTGTAATGAAATTCGACTTTTGAATGTCACACATGAATAAAAAATGATTCTTGTACCTAGCACTGTTACTGGAGTTGATGTTTGATCTTTCTGTGGTTTGAACTTCTTAGATTTTAGAATTTCACAATTGCTTCTAAATTTTCTATTACTTTCAGGGGAAGAGTATTCGCAAAACGTGGATAATGAATCAGAACACATGGACGGTTATGAGGTAAATGTGGATATCTTGAATCCTGGTTATAGCGCTAGTACTGAGGGTGAAGGTTCATATATGGTCAAACAAGGAGAGTGCAGTGAAGAATATGACAGTGATGAAGATTATTGTAGCATTCAGAGACCTGCCTTTTTGGTAGAAGGCGAGCCTGATTTTGATTCTGGACCTCCCGGAGATGGATTAGAATATCTTCGGCGCGTCAGGTAGCACTCTAAATCCTTATTTGATTCCTTCACAAAATGCAGTTATTCTCATTTTCCCATAACATCTAGGTTATCTATGTTTTCTTTATTTGATCTTATTAATGGTATATTATCCTTTAAAGAGTGAGCCTCTTTTCAGCCAGTGATTGCTTGTAACTCTTGTGACTTGGTAGAAGACCTTCCTATAAAAGGCTATGCTGGAATGCTTTCTGGATTTTAAGGACTCTATCTAGTGAAATTCTGGTTTTCTTTTTCTTATTCTGGATTTCACATGTCACCGGGTTTTGCTCTTGTTTTGGATATGTGTTCTTGAAAATTTTGTAATGGTGCAGCATTTGTGGATGGAGAAAAAAATTAAGGACGAACACTTTTCTTTGAGTCATGACAACACATCTTTGGTGATTATAGGGTTGTACCAATGTGGATTTATTCAAAAAGAAAAAGAAATGCAAATGGTGGATTCATTCTTCATCTATTTGTTGTTGAATATTGGTTGTCTTCAGTAAAAGTAGGGGGCTTTTGAATGATTTTTTCACTCTATACCTTGGTCCTGTGTTATCAATTAATTTCAATGGCTGACTTTACAACTGAATCAAGTAATGTGTTAAAAGAGAGAAATCATAGAAGAGAAGAATTCCAGCTGTGATAAACTGATTTTTTCAACCCTTCCGCTAGAAAATTATTAAGTAATGCAATAAGCATAACATTTTTTGAAGCACAATATTTATATGGACTGTTGGTTAGTCATGTCAAAGCCATAACTTTTTTTCACTCTATACCTTGGAAGGTGATACAGTCTAGCATAATTTGTTCTTGACGCTGGACTTAGAAATGGATAGTCAAATAAACTTGTCTCCAGTTTCAAGAAGAAATCATTCATCTCTTCAATGAGATTCACCTTTCCTCTTCTATTCATCAGTAGTTGAGAGCTTTTCTGGATTTTTTTTTTGTAGAGTTGGAGTTCCGACTTTAGGAGTGATTAGATTGAAATTTGACATGAATAGAAATAACTTTTCTTGATCGATTTGAATATCCCCACTATTCTCCTAAGCCTCCAAATCACAAATAATTCTCCACACAAACATGACTTCGGAAAGAAATAAAGTTGGAACAGTGAATCATCAATGTTCTGTTGGAGCTTCAATTTTTCATGTGCACACAAGAACCAAATATCTATATATATGTATATATACTTACAAGTAATCAGTGAATATTTGACCACATGAGCACAATGCCACAATCACATTTCAGGGTTTCCTTTCAGTTCCAAAAAGATCACATATTGACCTGGGAAGTTTTGCTTTTATTTGGGATCACCATAGCCATTGCACTGTCGAATGGATGGGATGCTAGGAGCTTTCTAATGTAAATAAAAATGCAAAATTTTAGAACTTTGGATAAACTTGAATCTAAGTGAGCTTATCTGGTAGGGTGTGATCCATATTATTCAGCTTGTTTATGTACAGCGGCTGTATTCAATTCTACTACGGGACAGTGCCTCAATTGCAGATTGAAACATTTATGATGCATGTTAAGGTTTAGAACTAGTGGTACATGTTTTTAGCTTTTGCTGTCTGCAGTACAGGGCTGTGTAATATGATCTTGTATTGTTGCTTTTAGTTTTCTGTTACTAATTTTAAAATTTTTAAAATGAACATAAAGCTACAATTGTGGAATATACTAAACAATTTCTTTCTGATGCTCAGATGGGAAGCTGCTCACATTCCAAGAGTGAAGGTGGCGAAGCGTGATCAGAGCAAACCTTCTAAAGAACAGAGTGTTTATATGCCCCGGATTCCTGATATCCCACGGTGTCCAGAACACTTGATGCCATTGAAAGAATGGGAGGATTCATTTCTTGCTGACTTTTCAAAGCTACGACAGGTATGTTTCTTAGACACCAGTTTATTAGTTTTATTCTTATATGTGGATTGCATATGATTTGCTTTATGAAATTATAGAAATTTGCATCTCTGCTGGCTTCCTAGCTACAAATAATTGAGGTGGAAACTAGCATAAGTTAGTCATGGAGAAGTTTAATTTTGATCAAACAGAAACGTGCTTAAAAGAATAAATGACTATTTCTATCTCCATTCTCTTCTCTTTCTTAGAGTAATCAAACCTGGAAAACTGATTTTTCATCTAGAATATGCTGTCTGAAGAAATGAGCGAGGATCAGGTTGGTTCTTGAGCGAATGAGGAAAAGAAAAATACCTTAAAATTCTTTATTTTAGAGAATCCAGTAAAGCCATATTTTCTTTCTATAAAAAATTTCAGGAGAGAAAAAGCTGAGGTTGGTTTCCTTGTCTAATCTGAGAATGCAGAACGCTATATTTATCCGAATTGCCTAACTCCACATTCTGGAAACTGACTTTGTTTACTTTATTGTTTATTTTAATATCAGGTTCTGTCAGGTATCGAGAATCCAAGCTCTCAACTTGCTGGTAAACTGCAAGATGTGGTCATTTTTCACAAGGACAATGAATCCTGTCAACTCCCTGATAGTACTATTGCTAAAACCGATGAACTTCATTCCTGTCAGCCTGTTGACAGTTTCAGCCATAAAATCGCAGCTGATGAGCCATCTCTGCTAAATACTGAGGATGATGAAAATTCTCCATGCCATCCAAATCCTAAAACTTCTCCAATTGATGATTCTACCAACCACCCTACATTATCTGCAATTCTAAAAATGGATTCCGTAGCTCGAGTATCAATGCTGAGAAAACGCATAACCTCTATAGAGACATTTAGCACGCTGTCTAGAAATGATTGTGTGTGGCTATTTTCATTGTGCGCAACAGTTGATACTCCACTAGACGCCGACACTTCTGCTGCTTTCCGGAGTCTGCTCCGGAAATGTGCCAGACTGCGAGCTGGGAAGTCTGAACTGGATGATGAAGTTGTAATGCTCAATATCTTGGCCACAATTTCCGGCCGGTATTTCGGGCAGGCGGAGGATTGAAGTTCATTCATGACTAGAGGCAATGAAACTTTTTCTATATGTTTTATACTTTCCTCTGACTGTGAGCCAAATACATTGAGAATTTTTTTTGAGTCTCTCCACTTGTTGCAGATGTTCTTGGGACATCTTGAACTAATGGTGATTTGAGTTGAAGGTTATCAGCAAATTTTTATTAAATATACCATTAATTTTTGTTCAAATTATCTTAATTGTAATTACAAGGAACATATTATTGTAGCTTAAAATATAAATTTTCCTTCTCATCCACCATTCATGACATACTTTCTTAAACCAGCTGGAACATGAATATTGGCAAAATAATCCTTTCAAATTTCAATCCAACCTCTTCGCATAGCTTCTCTTCTAAAGAGTAAAGACATGGCTTCCCATGATTTGTAGGTTTCGTTGCTCTCAGACCAATATAAACTTAATTTAGAATAGTAATACTTAATTTAGAATAGCATTTATTGTTTTCTATTTTATCTTTCAAAGATATACAAGAATGGAAGTGATGAAGGGGAAGTTGTATAATAATTCTGAAGGGATCATGAAGTTTGTATTTGTAATGCTGAATATCTTGGCTACAATTTCTGGCTGGTATAATGGTAAGCAGGAAGAGTGAAATTTCGGTCCTTGGGTAAATATTTCCATGGTAATTTGATCCAGTTATGGTGATACATAACTTAACTAGATTCATTCATGACTTTTGGCAATGAAATGCGTGTTTTCTGAACGTCTATATGTTTTATGCAATAGCTAGCATGCTATTTTCTGGTTGAAGTCATTCCCTCAATTGCTGGCAATATATCAATTACTCAAATATTCTTGGTCTTGACTTATGATTGTCACTTTTTCACCATTCTTTCAGCATATGCTTTTTGAAAAGATTTTCTATTGTTAAAGAGAAAATTAAGAGAAACAGATAATTTAGAGAAAAGAAAGACAAAAAATGAAAGGATTTTGACTTGTATTTCATTTACTGAATTAAAACAATACAGAAGTGTTTATATACATTCTCAAAGATATAGGCTGGTGATCTATGTGATCTGCCATCTCAACATAAACAAACACACTTGAAGAAACACAAAATTTAACAAACTTCTGAAACCAGATTAACACACATGAACTTAAGCTTCTAAGCTTAAAACCTCGTTGCTTAATCTGAGATTTATTTGAACTTGGCTATTTAGAATGTGATGGGAATCCACTCCCAAATTGATAAGAATTGGGTGGGATAGTGGTCCTTTTGTGAACTTGGGTAGAACTCTCCTTAGAAAATTAGCTTGCCAAGTGAGAGTGCCCAAGCCCTTATAAACCACATGCCCACACATTTTCCCTCTCAAATGTGGGATCCTAACATTCCCCCATGCTTCGAGAAGCAATGTCCACATTGGCCTACTTTGGATGGCTTCACATTGGGTGGCCTACTCTCCTAGGTCGCCCCTTCCCAGGTAGTCATTTCCCAGGTAGCCCCTTCTGGAACATTGTTGGCCCACAATGGACGACTTCACTTTGGGTGGCCTACTCTATCAGTTCGCCCTTTCCTAGGTCAACTCTTCCGAAACATGGCCCTAGACGGGGTTTGTCTCTGATACCATTTGATAGGAACCCACTCCCAAATTGATAAGAATTGGCTGGAAAGTGGGCCTTTGAGAGGAATTGGGTTGGGCAGTGATCATTTTGTCGGCTTGGGTAGAACTCTCATTGGAAAACCGACTTGCCAAGGAATGATTTTACAAATGAGCAAGAATAAAGATGATATAGGCCAATTTTATGCTCAACAATTTTTGCCAAGTCGGCAAATAAGGGCTGACATATGTTGGTCCAAAAATGGAAAAGATTCCACCAATTTTTTTGGGAGCACAACCAAAAAGGGAAAAAACTTATTTCGCTAGACTAATAGAGGATATTGGGACACCTGTAGGTGGTCCTCATGACAACACAATAGATGAACAAAAAATATCTCAGCTAATAAAGATAAAAATGCAATTTGTGAAAAATGAGTCAGACATGCGATGTTAGCACAAAAGTAAAGTGTGCACACATTCGAAGCGAAAAATGAAATGAAGTGCAACATGTATATGTTTGACATAAGTGTGCAAGCACATATCTATTGTGCACACACATGAAATTAAAATGCAAAAGGCACAAGTCTGACATAGTTGTACATGTGGAAGACAAAAAAAATTCAAACTTTTTGTTGGATCACAAACATATTTTTTCTCTTTCTTAATAGATAATAGACAAAACCTTACAATATTTTAGGACCACATAAGGAAATTGTGACACCTATAAAGTTAGCTCACACAAATATCTCATGTATATGTCTGACATAAGTGTGCAAGCACATATATATTGTGCATACACATGAAATTAAAATGCAAAAAATATAAGTTTGACATAGTTGTACACGTGGAAGACAAAAAATATTCAAACTTTTTGTTGGATCACAAACATATTTTTTCTCTTTCTTAAGAGAAAAAAGACAAAACTTTACAACATTTTAGGACCACATAAGGGAATTGTGACACCTGTAAAGTTAGCTCACACAAATATCTTATGTATATGTTTGACATAAGTGTGCAAGCACATATCTATTGTGCACACACATGAAATTAAAATGCAAAAAGCATAAGTCTGACATAGTTGTGCACGTGGAAGACAAAAAAAATTCAAACTTTTTGTTGGATCACAAAAATATTTTTTGCACTTTGTCACTAACCTTAAGCGTTAAGCCATTGATTACATTAGCGAGATTAGGAACATACTCGCGCATGTAATTGGCTAATCCAAGTGATTTCCAATTTCCTTTTTGTCCGCCATTATCCTGCAATTCTTTTGCAAAATGTCTGGATAAAAAGTTAGCAACAAAATTAGATTTACCGACAATGTTCAACCTGTGCAGATATGGGAATTTTTTTTAGAGAGCCATGGTACCGAATTATATTAAATAGTGAGGTAAAGATGGGTTCTTATGGACTAGAAAAATTCAGAAGAAAGAAGAGGAGGATTAGATACACATTACAAAAATGTTACTGGTAAAATCTAAATTAGAGGAGCTTATTAAAGCTAATGCTACTATCCATATTGAAGATGAAATTGTGGTAGTTATACCAGACGGGTATGCATTGATCCAGGATACTCTGTTTCAACATAATCAGGCCCAGTTAAAATCATTTTTAGAAGGGTTCGAATCAGCCCATTTATCAAAACAGGCCTTGATGGAAAGAACTATTGATCTTCTTAGGATGGTCTTAGCCCACGACCTATATCCAATCTAACAAATATTATTACAATTAATAACTAGTAACAACAATCCTAGTTAATTAATTGGAAAAGGAAAACACATAGATTCAGTTAACAGGAATAATTCATACCTGGATTTCAATCGTCTTGAATAAAACCTGTTTCTTGTCTTGAGTAAACAATACACAGTAAACAAGAGATTGAGAAAATTTTCACAAATTGAAAATATTATTGATTTCCCTTTTTTTTTGTAATGTACAAATGCTTCTCATTATATAGAGAAGATTCCGGATTTCAATTACAATTGAATCTGTAAAAAGTAAAACAAATTAATTACAAAGCTATCTTAGAAATTAAGAAAAGTAAAAGTAAAGTTTACTTTTAACTAAGTCTAAGCTAAAATGACACGTAACCTAATCTATAATGACATATAATGACACTGGGGTCCACATATCTCCCAAGTGTCTTGTAGGACGGGGGGTATAGGTGTTTATACTTGTTAACTTGTTGAAAGTTTCTTGATAGCATGAATAATGGTTCAAATGATGAAGTCTGTATGAATAAGACTTGTTTTCATTTGGATCATGGACTCGAGGTAAAACCGGAAATCGGTTTGTTAAATACTGTCGTAGATAAGTTAGAGCTTTTGACCCAGAAGCTTGAAAACTTAGACAGGAGAGTAAACTATACAGTGTATCGTATATTTGCTCTAAACGAAGAATTAACTTAGATCGGGAATCAGATTGAAAAGGTTAATTCTGTACTTCAAAAGGTTAAGACACTGGAACGTGTTCTAACTATTTTACTAAGCCTATAAAATAAGAGATGTCTTTGGTGTTAAGTGACATCGAACAAGTGTGGCCTATTGAAGGATATACTGAACAAGAGGTTAAACGGGTTGTGTTAGACCTCTGTAATGGCAATCTAGATATTCGAGAAGAATATTTGACTTGGCTAGGTGTAAAGCGACTTTTAGATGTTATTCAAAAGGCTTTTAGTCAAGGGTGCACAAAGATTTTGTGTTTTATTTGTCGGATTTCAACCATTGAAGTCACCGAGCTGGAACTTCGAAATGAGTGGTTAGAAAAAGCTGAAGCGGTAATTCCTTACTGGTATGGCGAATCCCAGTCGGATCCAAATCCTAAACCTTATAAGGAGTCGGACTTTGCAACTGAGTTGAGACCTAATTCAGATTGACCATGGGTGGTCAGGACGTTTTGGATCAGTTTGCAGGAAAAATATCCCGGATTGCCTCCAGGATATGCATAGTTCATTGCCAAAGAAACCCAAGGTGATTGGGAAAAGGCAGAAAAACTCTTTATGAAAGGTGTCAAGGAAGAAGACTTTGTTTCTAAAACGGATGGAAAACGGAAGGTTGATATTCCGAAAATTTCTCCCTTGGATGCTGAGCGAATCAGCAGGTATTATGAGGAAGAAATGAAGAAACAAAGGAAAGGAGACGAAATTGGAGGATTAAAACCAACTCCAGGTCCAGGTCCAGGTCCTAAAAAGGCAGAACTCGATGAGCTAATCTCGAGACTCAGGGAATCTGAGTTTAAAGATGATCCCCTTGAAGGAATTCGTAATCCTTTAAATTCTTTCGAAGGATTCTTTAAGGAAATCTCCAAACCCGAATACAAACAAACTTATCTTACAAAGGTAAGGTCAGAGTTTGTACCTAGGGGAATACCTAGAATGGTGGAGATACCGTCAAGCGGAAGTTTTCTAAACATCGATTGTGTTACTAATGTAACAGATGCAATCGAAGCTTGGGAAACTGTTAATTGGGTTCATGTGCAGAATAAGAATTTTGAACTCAGTGATACTTACAAGTTTCTTAGATCTACACTGCAAGGAGCTACAGGAAGCTTTTGGAGAAGTCTAGAAGCTGGTACGGGTCTGTTAGATATTGTAAGGGACTTGAAGAATAGAGAGGCTATCTTTGCACTCTTCAAGG